CCTTCTTGACTCAATCCTTCCGCGCGTTGAGACATGGGCCACGCCGTTGGTTGAGCTAGCGACTACATATTCTCGAGAAAGTCGCGGACACGGTCGTCGGCAGCGGCCCAGAGCTGTCGCTCGAGCGCAAGCGTTCGACGGGCGGCGTCGAGGGTGATGTACTGGCGACTGTGCACGCCAACGCAGAGAACGGTGAGCAGGACGACGACGAGATGCCAGTCGAGCACCATTGGGACAAAGGCGACGAGCATGATCGACGACCAGTGCTTGCTCATCTCGATAACGATTGCGATCTGACGCATTTGCACGCGCGTGTGTTGACTCAAGTAGTAGTTGTACTCGTCCTCGTCCGTCAAATCATTCGGCTCTGTCGGCCGCGTGATCGGAGCCGGCGCGTCGAGACGCCACGGCAGACACCAGTTTGGCGCAAACTTGACGAGCGACAGCACCAGCGGAAAGCTCATGCAGAGCATGTACGGGAGGATGCTGCTCTCGGTCATGCGAATTGCGAAATGCAGCTCAAGTTGCGACCCGATCAGCGTCCCACTTTAATGAAAGGGTTAGGGTTTCTTCGTATTTGCTCATGCTCGTCGGTCGGCACCGTGTGCGAAGTCTACTCGATGCAGAAGGAGCTTAGACGTCCCTTCGAGCCGTATTGTTGTTGAGACGCGTGGGGCTAGCGTGATGTACGCCTCACCGTCGTGGCCAAAGAGCCGAAAACAACCCAACGGCAATGGGTGAATTCATCAGCAACTCAACGTTTGATGGGTGTGAGCATCACAAGACATTATATATACGAACGTAACGTGTTTCGCGTTATCTTCATAATTACACAAAGACTTCGCATACGTAGAGACTAGCAATCTCCTTCTTCTTCATTCGCTCGCCGGTCCGTGGCGGCGGCGCGGGGGCTCGTCTGGCTCTTCTGTCGTCGCCCTACGACGCTTGGGCCGCGGGTGAGGCCCGTGACGACACAGTTCTTAAGACATTAGTCGGGAAAAGGAAAGCTCGAGACGATGGACGAGGTTATCACAGCAATGCTCAACGAGCCGTTCAGCCGCGGGCTCTGCGTCCTCATCATTCTCCTTCAGTACCTCGCGATCTGGGTCGACCGCGCTACCCGTCGCCACGCATCGACCTCTCGTTCACCGACGACGACTACGCGTCATCCGACAAGATTGGCCGCATCGCCAACCGCCAAGAGCTGCATACCGTACGGTCGCCAACAGGTACGGAGGTGCGCTCGGCGTGGGGCCGCGCGGCAGCATCGCCGGTCGCATCGAGCGGCAACTACTACTACCGGTCGACGCACTCGACGCGCGCCTACATGCTCATGTACCGCCCGGTCGACGCACGGCGGAACGGCCAGTTCCTGCCCGACGACGCGCTGCCGTCGTCCAAGGCCTCATCCAGGCGGACGAAGTGCGGCGGCTCGAGAAAGAGAAGGAGCGCGCTTGATTCCGCTCGAGATCTTTTACGACAGCAGCCACAAGACGCTGCATGTCTCCAAGCTATTGGCGCTGAGCGACGTCATGGCGCAGGCCCAAACGCTCTTTGGCCTCGACCTTCCGAGCGACCACGCCCGACTGCGCACCAACTCGGAGTACACGAGTTTGCCGCTCGAGGACTCCTTGCATAGCTACTACCGGTATGATGGCGTGGGCTGTCTCGAAGTGGAGTACGACGACCTCGACGTTTGCTCCGTCTCGATCAACGACCGACGCTGCATGTGGTGACCCTCGCTGGCTACACTTGGCGTCCGTTTGGCAAGCAGCCAGTGACAGATAATCTCAAGGCGGTCAAGACGACGCAATGGCGGTTCTCAGTTACTTTATCGCAACCGACCGCGGTGCTGCGGTCGACCTTCCGGGTGTGACGCTGGGTTGCGCAGCGCCGCCTTCAGGTGACGTGCGACTTTGGTGCTTCTCCAGCAGCAAAATGCGGGGGATGTTGACGGTGAACGACCTGCTCGACTTGCGCAAACTCAGTTTCGGTCGCCGGGCCGAGAAGGTGCGCGAACGCTGATATCGCTGCACGACGTGAGCGCGGAGCGTCGACGAGCAAACGAATGGACGAAGGGATAAGACAGTGTGAGCGCAAGTGGTACCTGCTTGTAGAAATGCCACACGTAGGAGGCTTGCCAGAGCATGCCCTGCAACCCCACAATGCATGCCCCAATACAACGCACACCAGTGTCAACGTCCAGGACAAGGTGTAGGATGCGGTGGCACAGCGTGGCACTGTTGGTTCATAACACCGTGACATGCAGCTCGATGCTCCACTCGCCCACGACGTGATGGGCAAAGCATGGCCAGTCCAACGTCGACCGTCGCGCTCATGTTCGTTGGACAATCAAGATGCGGGCCAGAGCATCCTTGCATCGTTGCTCACGCCTTAAGCCAAGCTCATTAGCGACCACGAGACGGCGATTCGCTGCATGGACTGGGCCGACAATATGCTTGTCACGGACGGCGACGAAGCGCGTCTGTGCAGTGGTCGACCTCGACGGGGTGTCAACAGCAAGCGACGCATGACGCGTCCGTCGAGCGCGACACGAGCGGCCTCACGACGGTGCGCTAGTGCTCACGCCCGTGCGAGGAGGCCCTTGTCGCCGACGGCTGCCGCGTCCCTCGATCTTCGCCCGTTGTCGTCGTGGCAACGGTTCGAGGTCGAGTTGGCAGAAAAACCAGATTCCGGATGGACCAATCGCAGCACGGGCGTGTAGTTTAATACAAAATGCCAAATGGGCTACAAAGATCAAGATATATCATGCGATTTAAAAAAGGGTACTTTGCTGGGTGGCACTGGAATTCGCCACACAGCACCATGCAGGTCACGCAGACCGACGCCGAGCATGCGACGGCCCGCGACGCCTTCGTGCTCATGTCGACGCTGCTGAGCCCCGTCGTGCCTGCGCCGTACCTCGAGCTCTGCAGCAGCATCCTCCAGGAGCGCCACCTCCGCGATGTCTTTGAGGAGCGGGCGGTCCAGCTCCGCTGCGGCCTGCCCACGTGCAGCTCGACGCTCGCCAAAAAGTACACGCGCTCGCACCTTCGCGCCGCTCAATAGGATGTACCCTAGGAAGCCACAGAAGTATCGCATCTCGGTGGCGCGGCGAGAGGTGTATAGCGCCCGCGAAGAGCAGCAGTTTTGCTCCGAGAAATGCTTGAAGGTACGCCGACCGTGCGACAATGCTCGCGCAACCATGCAATGCATAGGAAGCCCGGTCGTTCCTGGCACTGCTGCCGGTCAAGCCGGTGCAGATGCTACCGACGATCCACCAAGTCTTTGGCACGTCCAAGCCCAACCCGTTGGACTACCGGGAGGGCGCGCGTGCACCACTGCCCGTAACGTCGGTGGCCAAGCCCAAGCGCGCACAGCCCAAGGTCGTGTGGTCCAAGCAGCCGGGCATGGGCGTCGTCGAGCGGCCAAGCCAGAAGCCGATCGCGATCATCGAGAACAAGGCGCCGGCCGGGCCCTCGCGCGAGTTCCCGACAGGAGAGCACGCGATCTTGATCGAAGGCTTTGTGTTTCCTGGCCACAAGGCCAAGAAGGCCACCAAACTCGCCAAGAAGATGAAGCAAGAGACAGCGCCGGCCAATACCGACGACGGGAACGAGAATGACAGCGACTACACGTCCGAGTCGGACTCGGGCACCGACTCGGAGATGGACATCCTCGGCGCCGACGACGACTCGTCGGACGACAGCGACGGCAACACGGACGTCTACAGCGCCGCCGACCTCCCGCTCTTCGCTACCATGTGGATGAAGATCTCGGAGATGGTGACGCCCGAGACGCTCTCGGTCGTCGCGGGTTGGCACCAACGAACGATTCCTGTCACCGTCGAGGTGCGCCCGATCTCGGGCCCGGAAGAAGACCGCGCGTACCATTTTGGCTCCTTCTTGCTGCGGCAAATGCCCTCGATCAGCACGCTCTCGGGGCTGCCGTGCGACCGGCGCATCCAGGGGCTGCTGCAGGATCTTCTCCATACGTTTCAGCTGCTTCGGCCCGTCGAAGCCAAAGAAAAAAACGAGGTACTGTACATTTCGTGATTCGCATTCTCGCAGGACAAATTTTGCTGTGTAGTGGAACGCCATGTGCTTTCTCTTTTTGCTCGTGTGCCACAAGTGCACGCCCGACACGCTGCGCTCGCTGCCAACCCTTGCGTAACCTTCCTCTTGATAGATTGATACTAAATGAAATGGGCGTAGGACGACGCTGGCGCAGTGCCGCCTCGATGTCGCCGAGATGCAGCAGCTCGTGAGCATCTTCTACAATACGGACGCTTTTGAGACCATGGTGCTTGCCGACGAGATGGACAAGCCGGTGGACATGACGCCGCGCGTGACCGCCACCAAGGTGCTTTGGAACTTGTGGAAGATGATGCGATGCTTCTGTAGGGCATCTCGAAGAAGCAGTGCCGCAAGTGCCGCCGCGCGACCGACGTGTGCATCTGCAGCTCGCGTCGGCGCGAAGACTCTGCGTTTTCTGAAGCCGAGGTCGCCCGCATGCTGCAGGAATCGCTGCAGATCCAAGACATGTCGGCGTTTGGCACGACCAACGGCGCCGACGAGATGGACGATGCAAGCATGAGCTCCTAATAACTGCGTCCACCGCAACCTCTGTAGTTGATCATCTCTATTAGTCGTCATTTTTTGTCGAACAAATTACCACATTGTGCGCTCCAATGGAGTCTGTGCTCGTGTGGATGAGACGACGCACGAAATGATTTTGATGGCGAAGGGTTAGTACCTGCCATGGGGACTTGCCGATTCGCTATGGCCTCTTGTTGGCGATGCAAACATAGCTTGTGCAGGTTTCTTCGCGGAAACTGTAGTACTTGGTGTGCGATTGAGATTGTGGGTGATCGCAGAGAAGGGTGTTTGCTCCACTCAATTGCATAAACACGACATCGACTAGACGTTGAGTGGAAGCGACTTCATTGGAACCCTAAATACTGTGAATTGTATCCAGTGAGCGCGTGCGGAGCGCGTGGGATGGCCACGCCACTCGTGGTTGACCGAGTTGCTCGCTGAGATTTCACCTTGTGGTCTTGGGGAGTGGGCATATCATACGCGGTTATCGCCCCAAGGTGACTAGGTGTAGGGTCCGTAACGACCCACTTGAAAAAAACTAGGTGTAGGGTCCGTCGCAATTCGCACCAACGCTGATGCAACGGTGCTTACGAAAGGTGGCGACTGTTGCTGTGACAAGAAAGAACATGGTATTGATAAATTGATAGATTGCTACTGTGCAGACGATGAGAGATGCTTAGGCCCAGCCGCCACCACCGCCGTTGGTGTTGGTGTTAGCAGTGCCTTGGCCGCCCCAGCCGCCGCCACCGCCGCCGCCGTTGAAGAGGCCGTAGCCGTTGAGGCAGTTTTGGACGAGGCTGCTGATGGCGCCGCCGAGGTCGATGCCACCGCCACCGCCGCCCCACGTGGCGCGCAAGTTCTGGGTCTCGCTGGCGGCCGTCGTCGAGTCGATGCACTGGAGCACGGCGAGAGCGCACACGGTGGTCTTGACCATGGTCTTCATGGTGGAAATTGGAAAGTGAGCGCCTCCTGGCCATCCCATTCAATGCTGCATCGGACCTCATGCATGCAACATATGACGAACCCATCTGTGTTCCGTGGGTCACACGGTGTGGTGCTCTTCCACTGGATCATGGTTCTGTGCTGTGCTGGCTCATCGCATTCGATCTGTCAACTCCGAGACATCCCACTGACTGTCAACTAGACTACGAAACATATCCCCACACCAAGATTACCGAACGACAATGTATATTGATTGTCTTTGCTAGTGTTTCATCGGTATCGTGTGTACCAAGTGCTGCAGCGACATGTCATCTCGGATTTCCCTTCGCTCTTTGCCAATGGCGACGATATGCTTGCGCCACGTCTTGATGTCGAGCAGGAAGACGCGGTCGCCCCACTCGAAGGACAGGAGCCCGTTGATGACCGCGGATGCCTTGTCGATGCAGTAGACGTCTCGGTGGTGCCACCGGGCCTTCTTGAACTGGTAGTTGGCGGCCGCATACAAAAAGAACGAGCTGGCTGGCGGCGGCGCCAAGTGCGGGAACCGGAGGCGCTCGAGGAGGTAGAGCACAAGCACAATGCCAGCAACAAGTCCGTTCAGAGCCAAAAACCGCTGGACGCTCCCAATGGCCACGTGACCGCCGTGGCAAATGGCTTGGGCGTCGACAGCGACCACGACGCACGATCGCTCGAGCTGCACATGATGGGTAATGGGCGATGCAAAACTCCAAATGGCCGAGGCCCCCCAGACCGCAAGCGCCGATTTCGACGAGTAGCCCGAGGTGTATTGCTGCGTGAGAAGCGAGAAGGCGTCGTTCAAGATGAACGCTAGCCACGTAAGCTCGCCCGAGGCTGTAATCGTGGTGTACCACGGCGCCCGCACCGACTCGAAGCGGAAATAGCCGGCCATTTGCATGAGCTGGAGGCCCGATGTCGAGAGGAGGCAGATGGCCGTCATGCTGCGTAGAAACAGCAGCGGGCGGCCGATCCAGACAAGCCCCCCGACGCGGTTGACGACGAGGAGGTTGCTGGCTTCAATGAAGCCGCCCGAGGTGACAATGTAGAGAGACGCCAAGAGCGTCACAAACCCGAGGACGACCGTGATGTACTGAACGACGCGCTGAAAGTACGTGGCGACGTTGATTGGGATCTCCATCCCGTTGACCGGCACGCGTGCAATCGCGTTTCGACCCGAGAAGGTCGTGACGCGCCCGACGCTGCTTTCGAAAACGACCACTTCGCGCACGCCGTGGACCCATTCGACGAGGTACAACCACGAAAAATACTCGTACGAATGGGACGTGCCGTCAAATAGCGAGCCTTGCGCCAAGAGCGGTGGCCCGCGACCATAGACACCGGCGCCAAGACTGACGTTGAAGCTAATGTATTGCGCGAGCGCCACCGGGTAGTTGGTGTGCATTTCGGTGCGCACGTTGGCGGCGAGTGCGGCAAGGCGCGTTTGGTTCTCGGGCGGTACATGCGCATCAAGATAGGTGAGAATACCGTGCAGAAGGTCCAGCGTCTTGCCGCCGTCGGATGCCATCGCGTCGATATCATCCATCATCACTGGTGTGAGCGCGCTGCCCAAGGCGGCCACCGCCATGGTCGCACTCATCGTAGTGACTCCAAGGAGATCGTTCATGTGGGCCATGCACGACCCACCAAGCGTGAAAAACGTCAGCACCGACGTATCGGGCGACGCCTGCGAGTCGCAGAGGAGGTTGCCGCCATAGTAGTCGGTCGCGTTCGACCATGGACTTGGCGTGTACTGGTTTGGGCTCTGGAGGGCGACGGTAAAGTCGTGCATGGCCGCGTCATTGGCCGTGATAACGAGCGTCAGCAAGGCGTGAGACGTCTCGTACCACTGCTTGACCACGTCCGGGCACGGCAGTCGGCGCAAGTCGACCTCACCAAACGGACCAATGCTCGAGCGAAACAGCGAGAGTCCGAGCCCGAGCGGGCTTGGGAGCGACCCATTTTGCATGAGCACGGTCGCGGCCGAGACGTTGGTGTACCCAAACGTTGGTGAGCCCCGAAGAAGGCTGGTACCGCCGAGCACCGTCGTGTTGTCTCGCACCAAACTGAGCGCGAACGCGAGCGGCGTAAACATCTTGTACGAGGTTTGCGTTCCGAGCTGCAGCGTCGCGTTCGAGCTTTTGAGTTTGAGCGCATACGCAAGTCCAAAAGCATTGTGAATCTCAAATTGCTCAATGACACCGAGCGCCTTGTAGTTTTGCCACAACGTGGTGAACGAAAGAAGCCCCGCACGGCGCCACGTCAGCGCTTCGTCTTCGGTGGCGAGCGGGGTCGACATGGCCGTGTACAGCGCCGACGACCATTCCTGCCCCGCGCGGGAACGCTGCAGCGGCAACAAGATGCTGATGTTCAGAGCGTCGCCCCAGCAATGCGAGAGCGACGGCCAGTGTGCGTTGCGGAGCACCGACTCGAGGTAGATGGCTGCATTCTCGCTCTGGCGGGCGCACGCGACTTCGCGACGCCACGACGATGCGAGCGACCACGTTTGGCGCCAGTCGACGTAGCAGTAGGACGTTGCGATCCACGGAACCGCGCAGCCATCCATACTTCGGAGACCGTCAATCACCTGCACAAGCGAATTGATTTCATCTTGGATCATGTTGGCGTACAAGACCGGGACGCTCGCGGCGGTCGCCGACGTGTTGTACAGATTGTCATTCGAGAAGAAGACTGCATTGTCGAGCGACGGCGAAACGTCCGAGAGGTTTGTGAGCACTTGAAGGCGGTCGTTGAACCAGTTGGTCGTATATGTCTGGGCCCCCGTCGCGTTGAAGTACGCCCACCAAAAGTCGTTGCCCATGGCAAACTGCGAGAGGTACAGAAACGAGTAGCTCCCAAAGAGCGACGCCGCCATGTAGAGAAGCCCAAGCGCCGCTTGGATCCGCATCGTCGTGCGCGACGGGACGCTCGACGCGGCTCCATCGAAAACGGGAGTCAACACCGCGCGTGAGCCGAGTGGCGTCGTCGCCTGTAGTGTTGTCTGGACCGTAAACACGGCGTCGATCTCAAACAGCAGCCATAGCTTCATGTCCAGCACCCTACCACGCCCCAACGGCACCAAGCCCGACATGACGCAAATCACTTGGTCCATGTACCAATGGCGCTCGTGGGTGTGGGCGAGGTATCCCTCGGAGGCGGCGGGGATCAAGAGGTGGATTTGGCGCTTCCGAGGTCCGCGCTGCTCGAGCTTGGACGCGCAGTGCTGCAGCAGACCGACGGCGAGAATCGATACAAACACAGTCACTGTGTTGATACAGAGAAAAAGCGCAAGGCGCGCGACGCTGCCAATGGCCACGCGGCCGCTGCGGCACGACGCTTCGAGCCCGAGTGTCGTGACGACACAGCGTCGCTCGAGTGTGAGCGTGGCGTGATATGGTGCAAAGCGCTCGAGGAGAACCATGGTCAGCCACGCGAGGAGGCTGCTCATGGGCGCTGAGGCATTCGCGCCGTCTTTGGTAAACGGGAGGAAGAAGTCACTCACAACGTACGTGATCCACGTGCCTTCGCCGGCAATGAGGACGACCTCGAGAAGCGACCGCGGCGCCAGTACGAAGCGCGAGAGCCCCTGCCGCTGGACAAACGCTATCGGCGATGTACTGAGGAGCGCGAGGGCTGTGACGCCCCGCACAAAGAGGAACGGTCGCCCGATCCATGTGCAGCCGACGACCCGGTTGACCTTGAAGAGGTCGTGGCCGCACACGCGGAACGGCGCGCGACACGCAAAGCACACCATGAGCACCATGATGACGTTGATGACGATCGTGACGTACAGGGTGATGCTCCAAATGTACTTGCACGCGCTCACTGGCAGCTCCAACGGGTTGGCCGCCATTCGCAATGGCTCCGTGCGCCGCGACATGACCGTCACCGACGTCCCGTCCGTCTCGAACGTGTAGACCTCGCGGCGTCCGTGTAGCCACTCAAGGAGCGTGATCCAGCCAAAGAGGTCCCATGAGGTCTGCGAGAGCATGGGCTGCGACAGCAACTGGGAGGGCGCTGCGACTTGGTACATGGAAATCCCAAGCGGCTGCAGTGCAGCGTAGACGGCGTCGAGGGGTGGGACAACCAGAGGGATACGCATGGCGGCTAAGAGCGCAAGTCCGCAGCTGTCGCGCGTGCTGGCGCTCGCAAGAGCGCAAACAGAAAGTGCATTCGACACGTTGGCGAGGGCGGCGGCAAGGACAACGTGTGGACGCTCCAGTGCGATCGTGAGCGGCGTCGGCTGGGAGCACGCGTCATAGAAGCCAAACGACTCTTGCACAAAGGCCGTGGCGTCGGTCTCGCTCACACACATCAAGTTGCCCGTGTAGAAGGGCCCACGCGTCGTCCAGTGCGATGGAGTCGGGTACACGGTTGTTGACGCCGGCACAATGTCGTAGCCCGCGACAAACGTGGCATTGGTCTCGAGCTGGCGGTACAGCGCGTCTTGGAGGCCAAGGTAGAGCGCCGTGAGCTCGCTGGGATACGGTACGAGGCGAATGTTGACGTTGCCAAGCGGTCCGAGTGCGTTGACAAAGGCGGCTGTCACGGGCGGCGCCGTCGCGCTCGGGATGTAATAAAAGTTGCTAGTCGCATTGAAGTACTCGATGCTATTCGGTGCGGTTCGGACAAGACTCATGGGGCCCGGTGGGTCGAGCGACGACCAGAGGTCGTTCCAAACCCCAATGTACGCGCTCACCATGGACCAGAGACTCAGGCCCCGGAATGCAAACGGGATCTCGTTGATACGAATGGTTTGAGTGAGCCCCAGCGCATTCTCAATGACGAGGGTTTCTTCGACGCCTTGTTGGTAGTAGTTGGTCACTTCCGACTGCCAGCGGGATGCGCCGTGCGCGACCCAAAACGCGACCTCAGCGTCCACCGAGAGGTACGAAGCCGGCCCGCGGAGCGTCGCTGTGAGCCACGCCTGGCCAAACGCCGTCGTGTTGACAATAGCAAAAATGCCCGACACGAGCGGCTGTGCCATCGGCCCGTCAAGGACATCGGCGACGTCAACATTGCGCAAGATAGGCTCGAGATACACGGCAGCATTGGTCGCGTGGTACGAGTAGCAGCGCGTTTGCTGCTTGGCCGTGAGTGCCAGTTCATAGCGCAGGGTCAAGTCGACCCAGCAATACTTGACAAACTGGCGCAGGTTCCAGTACACCGAGTTGCTGCGAATGGAGGGTACGACAAGTGCCAACGGAACGTTGCCTTGCAGAATCGACCGCGGGGATGCGAACGAGAGCTCGATGAACGTCGACGGCGACGAGTAGTCTCTGGGCAGTACGATGCGCTCGTCAAAGAGCGAGTAGGTACCCGATGCATTGAGCAGCAGCATCGCGTTGCACCAGTCGCTCAGAAACGTTTGGTGGCCCGTCGAGTTGAAGCCCTGCCACCAATAGTCGTTGGCCACGTGCGGCTTGAGGATGGTGATGTACGCGACGCTGCACGCCATCGTAAACACCATGTAGACGTAGCCGCACAGCGTTAGGAGCTTGGGCGAGAGGTGACGACTAGGACGATGATGCGGGGAAGGCGGCGAGTCGTCGCTCGGCGGCACGTCGGCGCTCGATGCGACAACAATGACCCGCCCCTGGTTGACGACCATCCTTTGTCGATTGCAAATATGTTGATGGTGGCATATTTTTGGCGGGAAACGAAAAACCGAATTCCGTGCTATGTCAAGGGGTAGGTTTCCATCGCACCATCTGTCGATGTCGGCAAAGTAGCGTGTCCTTGATGCGCATAGCCTTTGTGTAAGACGCAGTGCAGTGTATTCTGTGGTAGAGTTACTCGAGGTCGGCAAACAAATCGTCGTCTTCGAGTGGCGCGGGCACGTCGACGACGACTGTCGGCTCTGTCGGCGCGGCGACGACGCCATGCAAGAACGCCTACATAGGACCCGTCGCGTCACTATATAGGGGTGGTAGAGACTATACATGCGCGTCCGATGGCGTCACGTCCGTCGTCGGATCGTCTTTGGTGCTGAGGAGCGTCACGTTGTGCGTTTCGAGGAGCGACCACACGGGTGAGAGGTACCACGCGTCCTTGAGCGTTTGTAAAAACGCGTTAAAGGACGCCGAGTAGTGGATCTACGCAAAAAAGGACAGTGGTTCAACGTCGAGGCGAGCTGCAGCTACCTCGGGCGACCGACGGCGAAAGTGCAAGAGGCACTGCAACGCTTTGGCGTGGTACGCACTTTCTTGGCCAAAGAGAGTTGCAATCTGGTCCTGCATGCCCGAGACCGCTACACAGTGGATCGTTGACGTTGGGAATAGTACAATAGTGCAAGCGAGTTACCCGTGTGCGCCTTGGCCACCTTGTTGTGCTTGGCAGACAAGAGGGCTTCAAAGTCCGAGATCGGGTTCATCGACCCAACGCTCGTCACGTCTTCACCCCCCAAGAGGTCCTATCACCTCCATGCATACACACCGTCGACACAGCTCGTTGGTCGTACGTCCAGGTCAAACTCGTCGTCGTCGTCACCACCGCCACTGGGCTCGGCGACAGCCGCGTCGTCGCCCGCCAACGGCTCGTCCTTGATTGCTGCATTCTTGTTGGCGTCGCTCCAGAAGAACTTTTTCTTTTGGTCTTTGGCCTTGACCGCTTCCTTGAGCTGGAACGCCGCGTTAAAGCTCTGGATGCTCGGGAGTGCGGCCGTAAAGAGCTCCTTGTCTTCGCGAAGGTACCTGCGCGCGTCGTTATGTACAAACCATCAACAAGCAGCAAGGATCGTACCGCTCAACGTACGGCGGGAGCGACGCGACGGGGCAATGCGGGTCCTCGGCGCGCTTCGGAATCGTGTCATAAAAGCGCTGCAAGGACGGGCAAAACGCTTTGCTGTGGAGCTGCCTACGCCGTATCGCATATGTACACGCGTTTGTATCAACCACGCGCGTCCTACTGCTTGTCGCTCGGCAGCATGAGCGCGTCGACGAGCGCGTCCGCCACGTCTTGCTGTTCTATGACACACGTGACGCGGCGACGCCCAAGCACAGAAGCGCACCTTTGGTCGGCGTCGCCTTGGGTACGCGCAACGACGGAAACTCGTACTGCCGCATGTCTTCTTCGAACGGAATCTGCTGCAACCAGAGGCAGCGCAAGCGCCCGTCCTTCCCGCCGCACGTATCTACGCCGTCTTTTGTCAAAAAAGAAGAGCGAGATTGCCGTGTACTGGGGATCAAGACGACGACCTTGGGCGCGGCGTTCGCACGGGCGACGAACCGAGCGATCGCGACCTTCTTCTCATCGGCCATGGCGCGCACGAGGGCTGCGAGGGCCTCTTGCGCGCGGGGCTTTGTAAAGTCCCCAAACACGGCGTCCGTGTTGCTCATATACATCGAACCTAGTACCGACTAGAATGATATCGCGTCGCCAAGACGATAGAGCTGCGTACGGTCCACGCAGTCGCGCGGGAGAAACCCGAGGATCTTGAGGCTGCGCGTCGTCTCGAGCTTGAGCGAGGCTTGATCCGCTGTCGAAAATGGAATCTAGACACCGCCCACTAGTAGTAACCAAGCGCCGAGCGCACAGCCGTGGAATACCATCTCGGACCCATACTTGTAGGCTTTAATGCGCGCTTCGGGCGCGACTTCTTCGTCGGGCTTGGACTAGATGCCGCAGGAATTCTGTCTGCATGTATAGAAATAGAGGCGTCGTCTACCTGGCTGTGGTAGAGACGATCCATCTTGACCTTGCCGACGCCGGGCTCGCCGACAGTCGACTCTTTTGCGAGCGTCGGCAACCGTTGCTCGAGGGTTTTCGAAAAGACGTAGGTTGGGATCTGCAGCGTCGCGCCAAACTCCAAGTTGCCGCGAAACTTGGTCGTCTATTGCAGGTTCGTATCCTTGTCCATACATCGATCGTATGTCTACTTGGTTCACAGTCCTGGTCTTGCCCTGGGCGAGAAAGTCGATGCGCTTCGAGACCGACATGAGGTCGCCATGCACTTCGTTGACGATCGAGAGCAGCATCTTCTCATTCTCGAGCTACGAGGACGCTATAAACTGCCGATTCTCATCGTGGCGATGATCGTGTACCTTGATATGGTGCTTCTCCTCGGGCTTGACGGCCAGCGGCTCGATCTTGGTCACATCCGTGATGCTAAAGTCGATACCACTAATACCCAGATTGACTAAGTTGATGATAACAGAGACGGAAGACACGTGTACATGATCTGGAGCTGGACGTCCATGTTCTGGACCATGGAGCACACGACCTCCATGTCGGCCGGGTTGGCGATCGGCGTCGCCGCGTCCGTCACGACGACGAGACGCTTCTCGTACTTCTTCTTGTCTGTGCGCCGGATGAGCAAGTCGAGCGCGACGATGATGCCATCCAAGATGTCGGCCTTGGTGTCGCTCGATGCGGCTTGGGCCGACGCCATGGTCTCGGCGACGCGCGTCGAGACTTCGTCGAGGTTGGTCAAGACCTGCACGTGCTCGTAGCCGCCTTGCGTCTCGTGCAGATGGTTCTCGGTTCCCTCGGTGCCATACATGACGATACCGACCTCGTCGTGCTTCCGGAAGAGCATCTTCTGCGAGAGGATGCTCTGGACCGCTGTCTTGGCCGCGTCAAAGCGCGACCCGACCACGGCCTTCCGAGTCGTCTCGTTCAGGGGCTCGCGCATGGAGACGCCAGCGTCCAGGACGATCATCATGGCTTCCTACGCAGCCGTCGTCGTCCATCTCGATGGGCCCATGCGCGTCTACCTTGCTGCGGGACATGGTGGTGGTCAAGTTGCAATTTCGAATGCAAAATCCTTGTGGTTGGATATCCGGATAATCACGGCGTAACCGGACATGTGGCCAACG